GTATTTTTGCTTTGAAGATTAAAGACGCTTTCCGTGAAACGCCTGAGACCCGCGCTGGCTTATAAGCTTGGGATAGGCGATCTTAGAGCTGGTTGAAGGCTTTGTTCGAAGCGCTTCCTCTGATTTTTTTGGGAACTTCGTCTTGCGTGCATTTTCACTTATTTATTTCGTGTCATACTCATTTTTAGGTAGTACTTCGTATGGTCCGCAATCGTAATATTGCGCAAACGGTCTGGTGATGATCAGCAGAAGCTTTTATGCCAGATGCATCATGCCGAAAAGGCGATGTGATGCGACCACCTTTTATATTGATTAGCTGCCAGCGTCAGGTAGATCCCGGGTGTCCTGAAGAAAGCTGTTGCCACTGTGATAGGTGACTTTACATGGTACGCTGTTCGCTGTGGCCTCATATTCCACTTAAAGCAATCAGCCACGAAATTTACCTCCCTTGTTATGACAGTGTAGCATGTGGTATTAATGAAGACGCACAGTCTCAGGAAGGGTCTGATATCGGTAAGTAAGTGATTTTAGCCAGGCAAAAATCAGCCGGTACCCCATTCAATCACTATCAACCCGCCCGAGGTCCGATCATTAACCCATCACGCCACCGGCCGTTTGTGAAGCGTTGGACAGCTCTGGGAAATCTTCAGATGGATCGGCTGGCGCGCCTGGGCGGCTGCAGTGGCGCGCGGTGCGTCTGGGCCGGCGGCGTTGGAGCTGCTCCATCACACCCGGTCGAGCAGCACGGCCGCGCGCGGTCCAGCGATGCCCCTGACGGCTGTTTACCGTCGGCCGTCGGCGGACGAGGCCTTCACGCCTGGATTGTCGTGCTCACGTGTCTGCATCGGAGGCTGCCGCGGTGCGCGGGGAAACGCGGCGCCGGTCGAGCGTGCGCGAGGATGCGCCGCTGAGCGGATGTGCGAGGCCGAGAGAAAACGAGCTCGGCGCTGGGGAAAACACTGCCACGCGCTCCGCGCTCCCCGCGCTCCGCGCTCCCCGCGCTCAACGCCGCGTCTTGCGCACCGATGACGTCGTCGGACCGCGGCGTCCTCCGCACTCCGACCCCCATCACTCTCCCTCCTCCTCCCCTCTCCCTCTCCCTCCCCCTGCCCCTGCCCCTGCCCCTGCCCCTGCCCTGCCCCTGCCCCTGCTCCTGCCCCTGCTCCTGCCCCTCGCCTCCATCCCCTCCCCTCGCCCTGCCCAGAGGGTGACCTCTCGGGCCACCGTGTCGTCATTCACCTGGCCTCGCCGTGCCGGCTCCGAGCGGTCTTCGGAGAGCCAGCTCGTCCGGTGGACCGCGTCGAGTGGAAAAGCCGAACGATGTAATTGCTACCATTCCAAGGCCGCACGCGCGACCGGCCGGCGACCGGCAAGCTTGGCTCGGTACGTCGGCGCCACACCAGCCGCCGGCAGTCGCCGGCCGTCGCCTCGGGTTCCGCGCTGCCGATCGGCTCATGGGGCATCGGCGGTCGCCTTTGTGCTGGATGGCGGGCTGCGCGTGACGCGTTACAGGCGTGGTGAGTGTGGATGTGACCGGCGCTGCTGCGCTCAGTTCTCGGGGTCATGCTCGTTGTGAGCGTGTCCAGGACGCACTTGCCTCCTAGATGCCTCGCGCTCTGCACTGGCGTCGCGGCTGCGGGTCGTAGAAAAAGGCTGTGTGGAGTCCGATAAGCAGCCTTTGACTTTTGCTGAACTTACGCTTATCGGCGTCAGATGAGAAGAAACGGCCCCAGATTTATCCCCGCCGGCGCTCCCGGCGAAGACCCAGTTACCGGCCCCCGGACCCACCTGAGCATCCGGGCCCAGCCTGGGCATCCCGGTCCAGCCTGAGCATCCCGTCCCAGTGTGGGCATCCCGGCCCAGCCTGATTTATCCTGGTCCAGCCTAGAGCATCCCGGCCCAGCCTGAGCATTCCGGCCCAGCCTGGGCATCCCGGTCCGGCCTGGGCGTCCCGGCCCAGCTGAGCGGCCCAGGCCACGGGCCCGGTGCTGAACAGCTGTGGCCGCAGCGGTGGCGGGTCGACCGGCGCGGCTCCCTCATGGGGCGGGGGCGCGCCGGCGGGTTTTTGCTGCGGCCATGATCGGGGTTGGCGCACCGGCCGCACCCCGCGTGTAATGGAAGGTGCGTGACAGGTGCCGGGCACGCTTCACGCGAGATGTGCGGTATAGTGCCTCTCTCTCTCTCCTCTTCTCTCTCTCTCTCTCTCTTCTCTCTCTCTCTCCTCTCTCTCTCTCTCTCCTCCTCTCTATCTCTCTCTCTCTATCTCTCTCTCTCTCTCTCTCTCTCTCTTCTCTCTTCTCTTCTCTTGTCTCTGTCTCTGTCTCTGTCTCTGTCTCTGTCTCGTTCTCTGTCTGTCTCTGTCTCTGTTCTCTATGTCTCGTCTCTGTCTCTGTCTCTCTGTCTCTGTCTCTGTCTCTGTCTCTGTCTCTGTCTCTCTCTGTCTCTGTCTCTGTCTCTGTCCTATCTGTCTCTGTCTCTGTCTTGTCTCTGTCTCTGTCTCTGTCTCTGTCTCTGTCTCTGTCTATGTTCTTCTCTGTCTCTGTCTCTGTCTCTGTCTCTGTCTCTGTCTCTGTCTCTGTCTCTCTCTGTCTCTGTCTCTGTCTCTGTCTCTGTCTCTGTCTCTGTCTCTGTCTCTGTCTCTGTCTCTGTCTCTGTCTCTGTCTCTGTCTCTGTCTCTGTCTGCTCTGTCTCTGTCTCTCTGTCTGTCTTGTCTCTGTCTCTGTCTCTGTCTCTGTCTCTGGTCTCCCTCTGTTTCTCTCTGTCTCTCTCTGTCTCTCTCTGCCTCTCTCTGTCTCTCTCTGCCTCTCTGTCTCTCTGTCTCTCTGTCTCTCGCTCTCGCTCTCGCTCTCTCGCTCTCTCGCTCTCTCGCTCGCTTCTACCGCTGTCTATTTTTCTTTTTCTGCGTTCTTTTCTTTTCTCGTCTCCCTTTCCCCCTTAATAGCTTCTCTAGACCACTTCCCCTGGTCTCTCCTCTCTCCATCCGCGGCTGTCAGCGCTCGCGCTGTTTCCTTTCGCCTCCATGCCGCTGCGTCCTATTTCGTCGGCCAGCTCGGCAGTGTTAGCATTTTCACCATTTCGCTGGCGTCAACTCTCCCCTCCTCCCGAGCGGCGCAGCCACTGGGGCAAGACGGTCTCCGTGTGCGCTCCGCCCCGGCTCCGCCCGCACCCCCATTGGAGTGCAAAACTGCATGCCGGGCTTTCCTGAATGGGTACCGGGCGGTAAACGGCGCCGCGGCGCAATCTGGTGCCGGCATCAGGGCACTGTTGCCACTCGGCACGACGCCATTGTGTGCCGCGTGCGGGCGCGGGCCGGCGCCGGCCCCGGTGAGGTCTTGGGGTCGGGTCGTTTGCGGCGATGACGGCCTGCTTAGAGACAGTCACGAGCGACGCGCGCGAGAGGTCAACCAATAAACAGGGTGGTGATTGGTTGCGGAATGCAAATGCAAAAAATGGGATGGAAATTGATTTCGTGAGTGGAGTGAGGTGATGTTGGGGCGGCGGAGTCGTGTGTTGGGTCGGTTTCGGGGCTACTGCTGGTTGTTTGATTCGCGGCTGGACCGGGCCTGTGGCAGAAGTCTTTCGTAGGAATAATGTTGCATTCATAGGCCCTTGGCTGCATTCTAACGCTGAGGTTTTGTTTCAAAGAGGGTGGCATCACGTGGGGTATTGCCAGCATGACATTGCGTCACGACAGCTCTTTGTACCTGTTTTGTTGTGACCAGGGCCGCGGTCACGGGGCGCGTTCTCTCCCCCCCCCCCCCCCGCTTAGAACTGCGTGTTATACTCAAGCGCCGTAGGTGTCTCTTTCGGTTGTCTTTTGTGATCGCGTCTCCCTGAGCCCCTCCCCCCTTGCCCATCCCATCCACCTTCTCTCCCTCATTAAAGGGAATGTTTCGCATTGAATGAAATTGAAGCACGCATCAAATATGATGAAACTAGCTCACTTATAACTGTCAGTATATTTTTAAGTGGAAAAGACTGCTCTAGACAGCACAATGCTCTGTTAAGTGAACATGATTCTCAATTCGTCATGGTTTGATTACGCCATCTTACCTTGCACAACATTGATTGAGAGCCAAGTTGACGGCCGTGATATCTGGAAATGGCGCTCACGAACGCCATATATGAACGCCTCGACAATGACATTTTTCTTGGCCTTGATCGCCGCGTGACTAATTGAATGACAGGATTTGAATGGCATTATTATGACGTCATGAATGCGAAGGGGACTTTGAAATACTCTCCCCGGTGTACCTTCCGCCATTTTCGCGGGCGTGTAGCTCAGAGACGAAAGGGGCTGAGGTATGAAGACGGGCAGGATTGTGAACAGCACCGAAGGGCCTTCAAGATGGCTTTTTCAGTTCAAAACCCCATATAAATGTGGAACACTCTCTTTCCTGGAAATCCTGGCTGCGTCGCTGCTTGAGAACAACTTAAATGGCTTTTCTCCCGGTCCACGTGATGTTATGCACGCAGCACAGTGCCACAGTGGCGCGATACTGCCCACATTGTGTGTGGATGATGCCGCTTTCAATGACCCCCAAGCTATAAAAAGACCAGGCTGGTTATCCTAGGCCTATGTCCCAAAGCTCTTCGGACTCTTGCTGCTACACTTACGGGGAGATTTTGACGTAGACTTGTCGGGCCCGTCGCGATCAGCGTCAAATAGTTTCCCAATGCATTATGACGCGTAGAGCCGTGAAGAGAAGCCGCCATGGCATAGCGGTAATCTGTCCAGTTCTGTTGTGTCTCAGTGCTTCTGTTCATTGCCCAATCCGTTCAGTGCCAAACGTTCAGCCCAGGCTGTGCCCCGTCGTTTTCAGGGGTGCTGCGTGGGGCGCACCCTGGCTTGTACCCCTCTGCCGTCCTGCCGCCTGCCGACACTGTGGTTCCCGGTCGATTCGCGAAGGACAAGCTTCACGCGATAGCCGCCAGGGGCAGGTTGGCCAGTCGCATGGTGCTGCCACCTGCTGACGCTTGGTTCTCGTCGTGTCCGCCAGGGATCGCACGAGTACGTGAGGGCGACGGCCGACTACACGAGTCACGATCCGTCGCTGCTCAGCTTCATGAAGGGCGATCTGATACGAGTCATCAAGAAGAGTCAAGAAACCGAGAAAGGTGAGTTTCCTCGGGTTAAAGGGGTCGCTTGTGAAAAAGGACGCGGGCATCTCATGACTTGGGATCGAGTCAGCAAGCCCGAAGGCAGACAAGGTACAGTTGAAGGTTGACATATTGAAATGGCTAGTTGTAGTATTTCCTTTCCATCCGTCGCCCACATGGCCAATGTTTAAGTTTCAGAAACTTTGGCTCAGCTCAGCTCAGAAAGTTTGGCCCCTTTCTTCCGGTCGTCCCAGGCTCCCGTATGCTGGACCAGATGGCATTCATTCATCTCCTTCCCCAAATGGATGTAGGCTTACTGCTCTTTTCTTATAAGCATGAGCATCGCAATGCCTTCCTCATCCGGAGTTGATTTAACACATGTTTTCCACAAACGGTAGTCGGGTCTGTATTATGTTCAAAACCCACCATCCAAAGCGCTTAAAGCCATCAGCTTGTTTTTGCCAAGTCGACTAGTATAGATCCGCGTGTTCGGTTTATCAAACTGTGTTAATTTTGGTACGTCGAAAACTTGAAATAAGAGCGTCGTTGTATCCAGTAAGACGTGAATTTGTACTGCATTCTATAGATGCCGCCCATTTGTCATGCATGGGCAAATAGTTATCTATGGAACCGAGAGGATAGTTGTACGGAAATCTGTCTCCCGTCATTTTCTCTATAGAAGTTCGCGTGCAGCGAATGCCCCAAGCAGGGACGGGTGCACAGACAGCGTTGTCACGAACGATGCGAGCTCATGCCGTCCTGCACTCGCGGTCTGGTCAAACTTAGCTCCGGTCAGACACAGTGACGATGAACAAATGTGTGAATAACGGTGGCAAATGTGATGACAACGTGAGATGTAATGAAGACATGCGAAGCGTATGTATCTCTTAGCGTGCATGTCTACACTGATTAACCCCAGAAGACCACTTTCATCCCTCGCTGCGGACTGCGGTATGCATCTTAAAACCACAGTCTCCTCGATCCATAATGTTGTCTGTTCGCTGTCATCTCAGGGTACGCGCCGCCGCGTTTTATCACTTCGCTGTCGTCCCGCGCTAGGCAAATGGAGTGCCTGTGGCATGTTTATTGCTTTCGTGACCATTTTGCGTTGCGGGTGCACTGGAAGACTGCGCTAAATAGGCTAGTTGTTCCGATAGGAAGGCCGGTGGACGGATTTACACTCATTGTCGAGCAGCCATACGACAATTAGATGCGCATTTCAAGCCGTTACAACGCGAAATGATGTGCCATTAACCTTGAATTATCATAGTGCATAACACAGATGTGTTTCCTGTTCACGGTCACGTGCTCGACGATTTGTTGTGCCTCGCATCGTGTCTGAGTGTGGAGATACTCACAGTCATGAACTACTTATTTGTATTTCCTCTCTCCTTTAATGGTGTATTTTGAAGGTTAGTGTTCGTCAAGCTCCCAGAATCAGTGGCCCAGCTGACTGATTCCGGACATCGTACGCGTCATCCGTCTTGTATTCAACCTGAGAGTTTTCGAACCGGTTGACGGACGTAGAGCTCCGTTAGCGATATCCGTCAGGGGGTAGGGGAGAGGGGAGGGAGCAGACGTCAGGAGCAGATGTACACCGTCATCTCGCTCAGTTGCTTCCTCCTCACGGCCTGTAGTGATAAGCTGGTGTGCCATCTCCAGTGGGTCTCCTCAGGGGGGGGGGGGGGGGGGGGGGCGCTTTGGGAAGAACGTAGTACCTGGTGCCAGCCGGATTTTCAACAGCTGGCGACGAGGAAGGTGTGCCCCAACTGGCTTGAATATTGAACGAGCAGCGATCTTGCAGAGTTTTTGGTTGGTTCTGGCATGGCAGCTTCTTTAAACTCTTTAAAAGCACTAGCGCCACGTGCTGGTTTACATGCGCTGCCGCGAGGGGCGCTTAAGTCGCCACCAGCGGCGCTAGAATCGCCATCAGACGGTCGAGATGGCTAACATTGGACCAGAATCCGCATATGTGGGTGGAGTCTCACGTGGTCATAACGGACATACAAATGCTGCGATGGACTTGATTACCTGGTTTGCTGCTCTGGCTCCGTGATCATGCCCGTGCGCGGCGGCGCCGCACATGTTTAAAAGTTGTGGGACACGAGCATGCAAGGCATGCATGTGGTTTTCCGTACGAAAGTCGCCCTGTTTCCATCTCTCGCAGAATTAGCTGGACGTTCGGACTTGAATAAGTATCTTTGCAATCGGAGGAAGTTCTAACCAATGAAATTTTGGCATTTTTGCGTTGTCTTCCGCCGTGAAGTTCTGCTAAGGGGACGTCGTAATGAAAGTGCCACCACCCTGTGCTCTCTGTTTTGCTGTCATGTTGCCCATGGTAGGCCAGATATTGCAGAATTATTGCATCATAGAGACAGAGAGAGAGAGACAGAGAGAGAGAGAGAGAGGAGAGAGAGAGAGAGGAGAGGAGAGAGAGAGAGAGACGAGGAGAGAAGAGAGAGGATGAGAGAGAGAGGGAGAGAGGGAGAGAGGGGAGAGAGGGAGAGAGGGGAGAGGGGGGAGAGGGGGAGAGGGAGAGTTTTTGACGGAAACATAGCCAATGAATCCTAGCAGTATACTCTATGCAGGTGCCTTACATTTATTGTGGTTCAGAGTTCTTATGCTTAATGATGACGGGCCTTTCATGTACTAGGCCATACTGGTTGAACGGCGTTAAAGAGCGGAAATTGGTTGTATAGTGAATATTCGACGTCGTAGGCGTTACTTTTGGCCGCGGTTGAACCAACGAGAATGAAATATATGACCTATGTTAGCTCCCTAACGTCATTTAACCAGTATTTCCTGGTTTGTGGCAAGTTGACAATTCGTCATAAGGACCTTGGGCTCATAATGCCGAAAAACACGGAGCTGAAGACCTTGTTTTTTACGGCAAGTACTTTCCTAGTAATTTACTCATGATTTATCGGTTGACCGAATCCCTTGAATAAAAACTGGGATCTGTTGAGAGGAGATGGGACTTCGTATACTTCGGAAGGCTCACGTATTTCCAAATTTTGACGCGGAGCTCCTATATTTGGCATTATTAATTGCTCAGATGAGATGGGTAACATGATAAGAGTTAACAAAATTTTCTGGAAACCTCCTTAAACACCTGAAATCCGTCTAATTCAATGTCTGAGTCAAATTATACATTTTACATACATAAATACAAATTATATATATATATATATATATATATATATATATATTACACATATATATCAAAGCTATACGTCAGTCTCATCATAGGTTCATGTTTTGCCATGAAGATTATGGCACCAGCTTAGGGACCTCTGCCGTCCGGGCTCGAATTGTCATTTCCGTTTCTTGTTCAGTGCGTCGGCCATGTTGGCCTGCCCAGCTGTCAAACAGACGTGACTATTTATCAATGTCCGTCTCCTTGTACCAGAGAAGGACGTTCGTAAATGGCATCACGTCAGCATGGCAAATCACCGGTATGCGGCAGTACAATGACAGTTTTTAATTACAACTGAAACGCTTAACGCTCTCCTCTCGAGCAACAGGTCAGTGTTATGAGGCCTGAACGAGAGCGCGGCGTGGAATGTATGCCAAGCCGACACAAACCCTTGCGGGTAGGCTTTCAGAGGCAAAAAAGGATTTCCTGAGACGAAGCAAGCTCTGGTCACAGGACTTTCACCGTGATTAGTTTCCTGCGAGCTGGTAGACTCTCGGAAATCTACACTCGCTCCACATTCGGTTTACTGCATCCGAGCCGCACCGCGAAGCGGCACGACCGACCGACTCACTGAGTCGAAGCAGCGCGCCTCAGCATCGTGTCTCCCCCATCCCCCGCGCTGGGGCGTCTCGCCAGCCTCCGCGGGCGGCCGGCTCTCGTCTGTCGCCGCCGCCGACGCGGGCAGGCGCGGGCGTCGGCCTCGCCGGCCACCGGAGCGTGCCAGACGCGGCCCGGAGCGGCGCGCCGGAGATGCGCCAGACGGCGGTGCCGGCCGGCCAGATGGCGCGCCGAAGAACGGTGACGGTTGCGGTCGGGGCGGGCCGGCCGCGGCCGCTGACCGCGCCGCTTTTTGTCGCCGCCGCGCCGCGAAGCGACCGTCGCCGCCCTCCGCCGGCGCCGCCCCCCGCCGAACTGGCGCGGCCCGCGGCACGTCGTCGCAGGCCGCGGTGTGACGGCACGTCACAGGCGCGTCACAGGCACCTCACAGTCCGTCATCGATGACAGCTCGGCCCGCGGCCACAACCGCGCGTTCCGTGCCGTGTGGGGACAGGTGCTCGGGTGTCCTCCGGCGCCCACCCTCCGCTGTTCGGGGAACCCCAGGGTTATGTGTCTGTGCACGAATGCAGTCTCGAGGTTTGCGGAACTCATTTCACCCGCTCCGTTTGCTGCAGGCTTGCTGGCTGCTATCTCCATGTGCTACGTTCTGTGCATGTATCAGGAGCTCACGATAGGGCAGGAGCATTCAAGCGCGCCACTCGTCTCCCTGTGCGGCCATGTGTAGCTGATCAGTGACGCCAGATTACCAGCCTCAGTCCATTACCGCCGACAAACACAAACACCTCGGGCGCAAACAAATTAGCCGGACTGGGGGAGAGGGGCAGGGGTGTGTCTCAACCGACGGCTCCGCTACCACGCCGACGTGCTCGGCTGCCTTCTCCACGCAAGTAAAACAAATAAGGTGTCAGCGAATTTGGATTTAAGTGCACCGTGATTTGCTATGCTGTTCTCCTAATTACATCCGACTGATATAGCGTATGCGCGGGTGATGTGTCGCATGCAAGTGGAAGCACTGATGCCTGGCCTGGGGCACCTGCGTAGTACTAAAAAAGACGAATGTAACCATCTGTTGTGTGTATGTGTACAAAGGTAGTCTCCTTGAGGTTTGCAGAGCTCATATCACGCTCTCCGTTTGCTGATTCGTATGCGCATGCGTATGCGTATTCGATTCGTATGCGTATGGGAGTGGAACTATTGTTGCCGGGCATCCACACAGTACTAAAAAACACGCATGTTACCACCTACACCTGCTGGAATAACCAAA